TGACCGTGCACCTGAAAGATGGAATTCCCGATGGTCTGTCTCCTGTTAAGTTTGGCAAGGAACTGCTGGGCCTTTTTAGGGTTCTGAACAGTAAGGTTCCCAAGCAAATGCTACCAGGCACACACTCTCCCTCTGCGTTCCCCGTTTGTTCCATTGTGGAGCTTTCATTGGCTCTACCATTTTTGTTTCTATTTTCAGGCGCTCTTCCGCATATTACGTAATTTTTAGCAGATTCAATTGCATAACTTCACCTTTTCTCCTCTCCACAGCACCAATGGGACAACGCTACCGTCTGGTGGCTTCACCAATGAGTCAAGGAAAAATCTTTGGCTCACCAGGTAGGGTAGGCAGTCAGTGCTTTCTGATTCCTCTTTTTGCTTCATTAGAAGCAACGACATTTCTGAATTCTGTTGCGATTGAAGCCCGCTACTACCATATTTGTGGGAAGACTCGGGTGAATCGTAGCAGCGCTCCGAAAACCCCTCTAACATGGATTGTTGGTGGTTTATAGAGGTTCAGAGGCTTATTGGGCGCACAATGTCTACTCTTAAAGTCGCGATTTCGTAGGAAATCAACCTGTGAATTTGAAGTAGAACACGAGAATTCTGACGTCTGACGGGAAAATTCTTATAAGCACTAAAACCAAACGCTGGTAGGTTCGTTGGAATAACCGCGCAATGCTCGTACATGTAGATTTAACAATAGTATGATCCGCACACAGAAACCGTTTAACTGCCTTCCCAGCTTAAATGCCAACTACATGCTAACGAGCCTATAACCACAACACTGAAACACTGGAAAACCTATTAAAATCTGCATGGAAGCACTGAAAATCTCATTGGTAAACCAAACCCTTGTCATTGTCCTACATCCCATCACTAATAGGATGCTTAACTGTTTCAGCCGTTGGCTTTGGCTGGTACTGCGTTTCTGGGTACCATTTGGTGTATGTAACAATTGGCCTTGAAGATAGCAAACGCGAATCTAAGAAGTTGAACTCGCCAAACGCACAATTTCCATTATTCATCCTCAGGCTAGGTACACACCTTGTGCTATCATTGTGAACCGGCGAAGACGCCTAGCAATGGAATATCGATCAACTTGTGCCATTTCGAACCGTTACGGGCAACACACTTGTTAACCAACAAGATATGTCCCCTCGGAAATTAATGTGCGCACTGGGGTTTTGGCAAAATTATTCATATAAACTTTCGGAGAGAGCCTAAAACCATGTTCTGAAGGACTTACTCCGAGTTTGCGCATTAATTTTCGAGTAAACTAAGACGGATAGCGTGGAAGCTGGTGTTCATCTATCAGAAAGCTCACAGGAAACGCAGGGGGCCCACCGATGAGCCGAACACCTCGTAGCTACGTTATACAACAGCACAAGAGACGTGTCTGGATGATCAACATGGTAAATCATTCAGTATTTACCCCCTTTCAATGTTTACAACCCACGTGACTGCAGCACTCGTGTGGATGGCGTAAATGGTATACCATAAGAAACGTTTTTTGATTGTTCAGCGTATTCCAACACGTGCATAACGTCTATTTACAATCTTTTGCACACCATTGTGTCATTTATAGTCCGCAATACACTCCCACAACTCTGCATTATTCTGCCTCGGCTGTTTAATACTGTATTTCGTTTTGTCTAAGTTGGGCTACGCACTGTGCTTGCGTGTGGCTTTCGCCAGATGGAGGCCTCACAACTACACCGAATTTCATTACCAGTTGACTGACAGGCTCGGACAGACCAATAGGGTATCGGACAGGGAAGAGAGAAAGATCGACTTTGAGACGTCCCATCTGATGACAACTTGGTGGATCTGCATTAAAATAAACTTGACTCACTGGAAACTGTTGCGACGCGATAATGGTCGTGGCTTGGAAGTGAGTGAGGAGCTCGGTCCCTCCAAAGACATAGGGTTAGACTTTACTACCCCCGTTTTTATATGACAACGCTTTTGAAGTCAAAGCCCTTCGAAGTTTAGAGAATAGGTTGTGTGTGACAGGCGAAGACAGGCAGTCTGGCTGTTAGTCACTTCGCTCATTTTCATACGCAGGCCTTTTGACGTTATCCTCCATTGGGACACGGTAGGTGTGACGAGATATTGAAAAAGTTTTCCTCACCATTACCATTTAAGCTGCCACTGCGTTCTCAGGATAGTAGAGAACTGCGATAGTCAAGCTGTTAAATAGGTGTCCATCCTCCTACTTCTTTCGGTGTACTTAACTTTTGCGCCTACTTTCTAGTCCTTGCGCGTTTACTGAACATTTATAGGTCGCCGCCCTTTGTCGTTTTTCATTCCTAATTTCAGACGTCATAGAAATGCTCTTCGTCTTGGCAGAAAATCCGGTAAGTTGCCGGACTTTGGGTCTGTTGTGTCGATTTTCGGGCTAGTCGAAACCACCAGTCTGATTTAGCTACTTGCCTAGACTCCCATCAAGCCATCCCTAAATTGATCCATACTCAATCCAGGAGTGTTCAAGGGGAGTAGGACACGAACGCCTCAACTTCTTCTCATTCATTGCTACCCTAATCAGACAGTTGTACAGAACCTTAGAAATTCAATTTCGCACAGCAATGTGCCCTATTTTTTATAGCGAAGTCGAGTTCCTGTGAAGAACTCAGTCACGAACGCATGTTTTACGCCGGCTACTCGAAGGCAGTATTCTTTATCTTTATTTTCTCCACTGGGATTTATCTCAACGGAGTCAGAATTGGATTCTTTGACCTTAAAAACAGACATGGAGACTCCAAAGAACACTCAATCTGTGGGGTCTTATTCACAAGACAAGACGGCGGACATGCAATAGGTAGCTTTATAAAATTATGAAAATTCACAGATCCCGCGGCGTTATACACGCCCAACTGGTGTCTTCGATTAGACACTATACTTGTTGAGCATTCATCTTTGCATAGCACCGCGCGCTAACTTATGCTACTACCCTTCCTCCAGTCAAGAAACTGTCGACCATCAGCTCTGCGCGATGTTTTGGCGTCGCGAGCTTGCCGAAGTGCAGTCATGATAGGAAAGGATCTCGACAGGCAGCAAATGTCCAGGGTGAGTTTCCACGACTGCCGCCCTCTCTAGTGGCGTTCTGTGATTGCAGGCTGTCTTTTTTGCTCATAGTGCTTAACTCTGCCAATATTTATGTCTTTCTAGATTTTGTCGAATATGGGCAAGATGGATCACCCCTGGGTGCGTTTTTTGTTGTTTTCATACCCTCTAGTGTTTTGTTCGCTGCATAAAATTATATATGAGTAGTCCTGATGCGTTTCGTCTGTCGCGTTTTTCAGCAATGCCCCCACGGGAGGCCAACGATGAGACACCTCTTTCACCTCGGTCGACTGGGCCAGCTTGCATGAGTGGCGCATCTAATGACTTAACTTTAACATTTTATACCTATTTTTATACCAACACTTACGGTTTTTCTCCCCAGAGTCACTATTTTATTATTAAAAAGATCTTGTATTCTATGCAGTTTGTTTTTTCGTCACTTTGGCTATCTTACCTGTTAGAATCCACCGGCGATTGGCCTCTTATCCATGTTCCTATCCAGTTAAATATTTTATTGTTGGATTTGTAGGTGGTACCTCGGTTGCTCCATCAAGGGAAACGTGCCCAATACTAGAAGTGGGCAATTGTTAGTTGGGAACACTTTTTGATTTCCATACTTTGAGGAACAACAGACGGGTTGCGTGTAACTGCAAAGAAACGTTCAGGATCGCAATTTACGGTGGTCTACGCGGTTAGCGAACTAAGGTGCCAAACGTGTCGGCTGTGTGCAACGGATGACACGCATCTATTGCGTAGGACTGGTTCCTCGCAAATGCAGTGTACAGCCCTTTTGCTGAGGATATCTTGTCGCAAAAGGTAAAAAAGACTTCTTGAGGGCAACTATGGAGGAGGA